GTGATATTTTTTTACAGATCACAAGTTCCAGGTGGGAACACCGAGACGTGCCGTACCAACATTTATTTCGAGGCGTTCATGCTAGGCAAGACTCACTGACAGAGCTAGAAAGGTAGCGCTTGATGTTTGAACCCCCGACCTCCAGCACGCGCTCCATATGCCTTCCGTCGTGCTTTGGCTGAGCGCGCGCGCGCGCGATCCAGGTGCACGAGACGTTGAAGAGCTGTCGAAGGTATACTAAGGTCGCACGGGAGGCTCGACAACTGGAGCTCCTCCCTGACGTTCTGACTTTTGCAGTTACTATATAAGACTGACTAGAATTATACCTCTTTACCTTCGTGCGTCGCTGCCATATCCCTGAAATTAAAAACTTCCAACGAGGCTCCCACTGACTATATCTGCACATTTGTATAACCATAGCCACTTGGGGGAGAGGGCGAGGACCGCACTGCTACACATTTTCAACTCCTCGTGGGAAACGGGTTTTGTACCGAAAGAATGGAAAATTGCTCGGGTTCTACCAATCTTAAAACCAGGAAAATCTCCTTTAGACATTAACTCTTACCGTCCGATAGCATTAACAAGTTGCATAGGCAAAGTAATGGAGCGAATGCTGCTTACCCGTATGGAATGGGATCTAGAAAATAGAGATCTATATCCTTCGTCCATGAATGGATTTCGACGCGGAAGAAGCAGCATTGACAACGTTATTGACTTAATAACTAGTATTGAACAAATGAAGGTAGTAAATAAAAAAACAACAGCTGTATTTGTGGACATAAAGTCGGCTTTTGATTGCGTAGAACACAACGCTATTCTTCAAGATATGAAGGCCATTGGATTTGGAGGACGTGTACACAAATGGATAGCCAATTACCTAAAAGAAAGAGAAGTCTACATATCGACACAGGACGGCAACACCGGTCTTCATCATATTACTAGTGGAGTACCACAAGGAGGCGTCCTCAGCCCGATGCTTTTGAACATTTCTCTCATAGGTCTCCTGAAAATTCTCCCAAAAACCGTTCACGTGTCTATATACGCGGATGATATCTGCTTCTGGACTTGCAGTAGATCTCTGTATATCAACAAAGCAAGACTACAAAAAGCCATTAACATTACCGCACGGTACCTACACCTCCGAGGTCTGCACATATCGCCGGAAAAGTCAGCAGCGATGGCATTCACAAAACAACACACGGACAAATACCCAATTGAAATAGACGGAAAGGAAATTCCATATGTCACACAACATACTTTCCTGGGTGTCACTCTCGATAGGCAGCTGACCTGGAGCCCCCATGTAAAACGCCTTAAAAAGAAGCTCTCCTCTTTCATCAATATAATCAGGATGATTAGTGGAACCAAATGGGGATGCTCTGTCTCCGCACTCCTTGCCCTTTATAATGCCTTATTTCTCGGACTTCTGCGCTACAGCCTGATGCTAAGAACTCGAAAGTATTCAAGCACAAGCTCTTCGCACATGTTTAGGGCTTCCTAAAGGCACTTCTAATTTGGGATCTCTTGCGGAAGCACAAGCGATTTCACCAGCCGTTTTAAGAACGCAAGAAACGATAAGAGCCCATCTTCGTCACAAATCTCGTACATATAAGCATCACCTCACAAATATGGTAACAGAAAGACCATCATCTGGCTTTGCACAAGTTATCGCACTCTTGGAGGATTACATCCCAACTTCTTTTGAAGCAGCGGTAATTCCAAGCTATCCACCATGGAGGTACCCTCACTTAGAAATAAGAACGAGTATTCCGGGAATCGCTTCGAAGAAAAAAATGCCCACACCCGTGATTACGCAGACAGTGCTGGAATACATGAACCGAACTTATGCCTCATTTAGACATGTCTTCACCGACGGATCTACAATGTCAGCATCATCGACCCTGGGAGCCTATATTCCGTCTCTGGACGCATGCATACAAGCAAGGTTGAGCCACGTTACGTCGTCAACAGCATCGGAACTCGCAGCGATTCGAGCAGCTGTTGCTCGCGTGGGAGCCGAGAGTCCTAGTTTTTGGGCTATCTTTGTGGACTCTAAAACTGCTCTACACACCCTCTCTACGATGAAAAAATGTAGCCCGAACTTGCAACTCGCACAGGATATTCTGGAAGCAACTCGACAAGCTTCATGCAAAGGGCACCAGTTTATTATACAGTGGATTCCTGGTCACTCTGGTATAACCGGAAATGTTATCGCTGACAGAGCCGCTCGAAACGCTCATGAGAGCGCTATTACTGTGTCAATCCCGTTTTCTAAATCAGATGCAAATAACTTAATTAGAGATATAGGCCAAGAAATAGCATCTTCCCTTTGGAGAAATCCTCAATATCATTATTCCTATCTTTACAATATCGATCCCAAACTTAGATTTCGGGCACCTCGGGGACTACCAAGGGCAGCCGAGACGGTCCTACATCGCTTGAGACTGAATGTGGCATACACCAACAGCTACCTTTATAAAATCGGTAGAGCTGAGTCTTCTGATTGTGCTTCGTGCGGAGTCACCCATAACATCGAACATGTATTGTGTGAATGCAAGGACTACAGCCGTGAAAGAGAGCTTATGAAGACAGGCCTGAGGCTACAAAATGAACAAGACGTAAGCATTCGTACTCTGCTTGGTCCATGGATCTCTGCTGCTGAGGGGTATAAAGCTACGAAAGTTCTGCTGAAATTTCTAGCAGCTACTCGCTTACAGAAGAAACTGTAGTGGAGTAGATGAACAGCAATGGCCGATGACAATTTACAGTGAAACATTTTCGTTAGTTTTTTTAGTCTTTTTTTTTTTAGTTTTTAATACTTTGGTTTTGTGTGTTTTCTCGCTCTATCTTTTTCTGTTTACCTTTCTCTCTTCTATCTTCTTCTGTTTACCTTTCTCTCTTCTATCTTTATGATTTTCGCTTCCGTTCATTTCACAATGTAGCAAACCAGCACCAGGCGCTGGTTGACATCATTGTTTAATAAACGCCTACCTCTCTCCTCTATCCTCACAAAGCCTGGCAGCTCGACGACGGAGCCATAGAGTGCCCGGTCGCAGACTTGGAGCGCGAGGATCTGGTAGCACAGAGCATCAAAGAGCCATTTCTCGGGGAATCAGAACGTCAGCGCACAGCTTTTGCAGCGGTGGGGACCCGAAACACACTTGTTTGCTCGGGAGAAGTGTGTTTCGGCGTTTCGTCGCAGCGGGGCGCCAGTCACGTGGCCCTCCTCTCATTCGTTGTCTGCCCCTCCACCTTTTCCATTTCGGCGGCCACTTCTCGTGGCAAGCAGGCTTTGTCAGTATATAGGAGGCTATAGTATAACCTAGAGCTCTCCGTGAAGCGAGGTCACACTACTTATATACATCGTCGTACAAGAGACAGTCTGGCGGACATCAGACGCCTCGACATCCATTTTTGGAATGCCGCATGCCAAGTTTCTTCCCGAACTCGTTGCCATGAGCATTCGAAGCACGGATCACGTGGTGACTTTCGTTCGAATCTGTTTGGAGACTGTCTTTTGTATGATGGATAAGCAGGGCGACCCCGGCTTTCTGCCTCCGAACCCTGATAGCCTAATTATTTAACTAATTGAAAAGGCAGTTACCACGCCTCCGCTGTAGCCTGACAATCTCGAAAGAGCAATACGACTCCTGAGCTCTAACCGGGCAGTCTTTAAGCGGCACAAAACAGAGATTAAAGTGAAAAAGGAGCCTTCACTTAGAAACTGACAGAAAAAAAGGAGGAAATGCAGTATCGCTGGACAAATAATAAACAAGTCCAGTAACCGCAACTGAATCTATCGTTATTATTAGTGTCTGAAAAGAAAAGAAAAAACCATGGCGATTATAATTTCGTATTCTGCCCAATTATAATTTCTAAGATTGCTTTCTTTATGTAATAAAGTTCATTTCGCTTTTACCAGGATTCAAGCCTTTGAGGCGACTAGTTCACCTCAATAAGGAAAACAATGTTCAACCAACAGACGCGCTACTATGAAGATTAAGTACACGAAAATTAAAAAGCGAATTCACGTGAACAAAGATTGAAATGATCTAGTTATACACTATCTGTGCTAAGAAATCACCAAGAGTCCCTTGCATAGGTTCACAGTGCAGCGGACGAAGTGTTGCTCTTCCATTAATTTTTTTACGTTTTTTTTCTGCTTTTGTTTATTCCGTTATGACGAGGAACCAAGCACAGTAAAAGGCTTATAGTATACTCAAAGAGTATTCTTCCATTTATTATTAATACGATCGCACGCGCTTTCCCAGTATAAGTATCACACGCGTTATCGAGCACATCACCAAAATACGGCATATTGGCTTCGAGCCATCGACTCGAATGCGTTGGCAGGTCTATTTCAGGAACTTTTGCGACAGGTCATTACAGGCGCGGCTCCCTGCACATGTCCCAACTATAGTAAAGGTTTTCGCCTCACCACTATTCTACGAGATATGGCGTCTCATGTCAATGCAGCAGCTGGGACTATGTATCGATGCAGCGCTGCTGTTCCGCTCAGGAAACGTACAATCGAGACGTGCGTTTCAGTCGCTCGGAGTCTCGGTGAGTCGCGGGTAGGTCGGTAATGGCTCCGTTTAAATAGGACGCCCTCCCTACTATAATCACAGCCAGGATGAGAACGACAAAAAGTCCTTCAGTTGCCCCCCCCCCCCCCCCCCCCCCTTCCCCTTTAGTGCGATCTTAATAACTGCAATAAGACGTCGGCGCCTTGTGAGCCTCGAGTGTGCACGCGCAACCAAAGCAAGGCGCAGTCGCAGTGCTCATACAAACATACATTGGCCATTCAAAAGCTCTTTGTATACGTGTTCAAAGAATGCACATTGATGTGCGAAGCAAACCTGCTTCGAACATGCGTGAGGCATGTCCACAGATGGTTCTGTCTTCATGTCTGCAGTAGACATGTGTCTTTTGTTTGACGTGTGAACAGAGTGGCTTCGGCTTTGAGGTCCTGGCAGATATAGGAGCGAGCAAAGACTCACCTTAAGCTTGCTGCACGGCACGAAGAGGACCTGGTCAGACGGCTTGACGCCCCGATGAGCCTGTGGCACGTGTCCCGGTGGGAGTCCCATCTTGAAGCCCTTCGCCTTCACCCAGAACCTAAACTTTGAGTTCTCGGCACTGGTCTGTTCCTCGCCCTTGAGGATCTTGAGGATCCTCTGGTACTTCTTCCGGGTAACCGTCTTGGTCTTGGCGCTGTCTCCGTAAGTCCGTAACGCCCAGGACTGAAAGCCGTTGTACATCTGTTCTGGAGAAGACGAGGTCGACGTCGGGGACGTCGAGACAGCACTCGGCGCCGGTGCGGCCATCGTCATCGTCGTCGAAGGCGGCGGAGATTCGCTAGGAGACGTCGTCGTCTGCTCGTCGTCTTGCTCCTCCTCTTCGTCGTCTGACGAGTCGTGTGGCGTCTGCTCTCGTCGCTGTGGGTGATGTCTGGAAGACATGTCTTCGGCTGCTGCCGCTGCTGCTGCTGTGGTCGAAATGGTCGTCGCTGTCGCTGTGGCTGCACCGATCGACGTGGTGGTGTTACTGCTGTGTGTCGTGACGGCTGTTGCTGTCCTGGTGGTGCAAGTTCCGGCTGTGTTTCTTGCCTGCCTCGCGGCGTGCCTCGTGTTGTGGAGTCTTTTCTCCATGGCCCTGAGAACGAAAGAAGGGGATAATGATCAAGACGCTCGGATATCAAGAAACCTAGCTGTATCCCGATGTTTCTACAAAGTTCACGGCCGTATCTGATCATCTTACCATACCTGGACAGCCTGCAATGTCTAAAGCCCGATTGACGTGGTGCGATTTTAAGTGCGAATTCGCAGGTGCGACGTCGGGCACCGCAGCTTCCCCCAGGCATTTTTGCCGTACGAATGACATCGCAACTGCGAAATCGCAAGTAAAATCGCACCACGTGAATTAGGCCTAACCCAATAAGAATAACGAGGAAACAAAAACGCAAAGAGACAAACGTCGTAATTACGTTTTCAGACGTGTACGAAAAAAAACAATTCAACAACATGGTATTGATTTTTTCTCCGATACACTTTTCTTAGTTAAAAGCTTAAGTGAAAATATTTATTGCATTAACTCTACTAGAGTGGCAAGTTAACCTGCTTTGAAATCTATCCACTTGCGTGCCTGCTGCACACAGGGGCAATCTCAACAAATCCAAAGGGTATAGGCAAAGCCTACATACATACTATAGTATGTAGTTCATCTCATATGCCGGGTATAGCGCAATAAATGGGACAACCACCAGAATTTACAGCTCTTTACATTTATCTGCATTACACGAGCATTCACGACAAAAAAAACAACACACATTTAATGAAAAAAAAACACGCCCGCAACAGTGTCTCGCACAACACTGACCACGTATACATCTTTTGGGGAACGCAATGTATTACTGTAAAAAAAAAAAATGCTGCATAGAACGAAAGCAGTCGGGTGCCGCGCTCATATAGTAATATGTACCGAAAGGAGTGCCCCGTTAGCGGCGACCTTACTCAACTTGAGGCATTTGAAGAATAATAAATATTAAAGTTTAAAGGAAGAAAAAAAAGAGACCACAAGTGAGGCCGGTTTCCGCACTAAACGAACATTCGCCAGCTGCTTTTGAGTCCCGCAACTACCGAGGTCGCGCAAGAAGCGAAAACGCACTGTTCCCGGGAATAACATCAACTAAAAAAAAAAAAAAAAAAAATCTCCCGGCAAAGACCTGAGGCGTCCTGCCTAGGGAGCCTTCATGTAGTCCTGCCGACAGACATCGTCTTTTGTACGGCACTCCTTGTTTTGCAGTCAGACGGGCCGACACGGAAGGAGTCCTTCAGCTACAATTCGCTTTGTGTAGACAGAGCAGCGTCAGTCCGCCTATTGTGGCACCACACGTGCTGGTCTTTTTTTCTTTTCTTTTATATCTATATGTTGTTGTTTTTTCTCCTCAGCTTCGGATTAAAACACATTGTGCCCCGGTTTGAGACAGAAACGCCGAGATAACAGGCGCAGGCTTCCAAGCCTTGGCCGCGGTGTTAGGCAGGGTGTACGTGTCTTGAACTCCCTGTCCCCCAGCACGCTCTCGTTGCTCTCCGCCGTGCTTTGGCTGCGCGTGCACGCTCGAAGCTCACGACACGCTGCAGCATCATCGAAGGCAGGAAGCTCGCGCTGAAGGCGGAACAACTGAAAGACTTCCGTGCCGTCCCCACCCCGTCAGTCACTACACACATGGCTTTCGCTGACGTCACAACAGCAGCCATTGCGGTGACTGCTACTAAGCGCGTACATTTTGCAGCATACATCTCGCTTTCTCGCCCCACCCCATTTGTTTTTTTCTGCGCAATAACAAGTAGGAGTGACTGCCACCGTGGGACGACGTCGACACGTGGAAGCGACAATTGTGCACATCAACATACCGTGACTACTAGCTTTCTTAAAGCCAGGCGGTTCTGTTTAGCGCGAGGGTTCTATGCGGCCTCGGCGAGACGAGCTAGTGCCAATCAAAACTAGCGGGAATATACGTAGCCTCCGCTATTTCCAGCGCTTTTTGTCGCGGCCTGCAGTTGACACAGTCTGGCGGCTACCAGCGCCACATGTGGCTCCACATCGTCAACAGGGGGCACAAGTCTATGGCCACAGCTGGACAGGCCGAGAATGCCGTAAAAGTTCACTCTAGAGGCGGAGATCCTATGCTGCGTTCTTAACCTGTAATCGAACGTAGCCATAATGCTCGCCGTAGCGGTAGACGCTCGCGCTAGATGCGGAACCTCACAAGCTCCGCATCTTCGACGACACTCTGCAGTGTCGTTGCGGTGAGCACGCAGAGACAAAGCACGACCGAAAGCAACGGGCACGTGCCGGAGGATGAGCTTCCACCGTACTTCTAATCTCTCGCCGACTACAGATAAGGAAAGACTCATTCGTGTTGTCACGCTACTGCAGAAGACGGGCCACGGCAATTGGGCAAAGCATACCGCCCATCCTTTTGACAACACTCGGATTCATGCTTCCTTGTCGTCTCACTTTACCGCAGCCGACGCTACAAGCGTCGAAAATACATCGTCAAGGCTGTCGTCTTTGTTCCTTTTTTATCCCCGATAAAAACCAATCACGTAGAGTGAATGAGCCGCGGTCCTTCGAATCCCCCGAACCTTCCCTTTTCCATTCTACCTGGGCCCCCCACTCCACGGGGGCAAGGCATTCTTCCGCTCCGAGACCCATCCTTTACCTACAGGGAGGATGCTGATCTCTCGGGCTAAGCGGATAGCAGAAGCCAATGGGGCCCTGGACTAGGCTTTCCCGACCAGAGAGAAGACACTCAAGGCTTTTTCCTCGAATAAAGCTTTTCCTCTGCTCCTCCTCCGCGGTCCTTCACTTTTTTTTTTCTTTGCGGGACTGGTTCATTTGGTGATGGCCGACCCTCCTCAAAGACAACGAGCGCCATGACGAAGCACTTTTGGTGCTACTGGAATTGGCTCCGTCGCAATGTAGCGTCGACGGCGGTCGGACTTTTCAAGTGAAACGCAGCGTAGTTCGAACCCTGCGCACCGATGCACGTCAATGCTTCCACCCCACAAGTTAATGGTTAGCGTTACCCCACCCAACACAGTGCCGTGAAAAGTGTACGTTTTACCGAGCGCTGTGTTTGCGGGACCACCTCGCATTAGGTTCGAATTTCGCTAACCGCAATGCAACGGAAGTATGCTCGCCTTAAGCGCGAAACACATGTACGACCAAACCGTCCGATCCGACGTCCGACCGCGCAATACGACGGTCGGAGGCGAGGGTTTTCAGCGCTCTCCGATGCTACGAAAACCCTCTCCCCCCAAGGTCATTCCGGCAGTCCGCACGTCGGATCGGACGGTTCCGTCGTACATGTGTTTCGCGCTTTAAGCGCGAAACAAACGTACGACGAAACCTTCCGATCCGACGTGCGGACTGCCGGAATGACCTTGGGGGGAGAGGGTTTTCGTAGCATCGGAGAGCGTTGAAAACCCTCGCCTTCGACCGGCGTATTGCGCGGTCGGACGTCGGATCGGACGGTTTCGTCGTACATGTGTTTCGCGCTTTAACCTCAACAAACGCAGTAAAAAAAAAAAAAAAATTCCTGCTCCTCGCAAAATTGTATCCCCCCCCCCCCCCCCCTCCACCCCTTCCGCCTTTCATGAGGAGACTTGAGATATATGAAGGTGCATTTTAGATTAGATATATACACTCTAAAAAGAAATCTGGTCGTACAAGAACACTAGAGGTTCTTTGCCTTGTGGCATGTTTCGCGCCTTTAAAAAGTTATTTTAAACGCCCCCTTCAAGGGTTTTTCGTGAAAAAAAAAAGCTACAAGGGGTTCTTTTAAGCTCCATTTTCGATGCGAAAGAGTTCGTCGCCCAGTTGACTTTTTAGTGCTCCAAGGGCGATAGTGCTTGAGGCATAACCGTTCTTTACGAGCTGAAATAGTACATGGGGCGTCGAATAACCTTTCAAGAAACGGATTTTTCTTTGAGAGTGTGTATATATGTATATATATTATATTCTCAAGACGTAAATGTTTGAAATGCCAAAAACACTCTTTCGTCTTCCGACAACCAAATCTTGTAATAACTACTTCGCGACGCGTATGAACAATGCGCGAAACTTCCTTTTTTGTTTCTCCTTCTTGAGGTAACAGCGAGTATGCAACATGAAGATGGGAAGCCGGAAACGTGATTTTTAGGATTTACTTTTCCGGACATGCTATTTAGTAACTCTAAGTTCAAAATTGCTGTTCAAGAAACAGCAAAGAAAAGAGACGTAAGAAAAAAAAAAACACATTCAAGTTTTTTTGTTTTTTTTTACAGCGACGTGATGTCACTGGCAGGTAGGTCAGGTACTGTAAAAGCCACAGTACCTCGCGCATTTTTCATGGTTTACGTGCTGCTCAGCGAGTGCTGAGGCAGTTTTTTCAGCAATCATTCCATATTATGAAAGTTCTTGCAACTCAAACAGCAAACACGTGTAGCCGAAAAAAACGCTTAAGCTTAATAAAAAATTAAAAACCTTCGCGCCAAACGAAAAATGAAATTAAGACCGGGTTATTTTGACGTAATAATTTAGTTAATGGTTCGGGCAAATCTATTGGTGTGTTTAGCTCATTCTGAGGAAAATCAACGACCATAAAAACAGAAAGACCAAAATGGAAAAGGGCCTTTCAAAGAAAAAAAAAAAGTGTAACTGGCTATTTGTACGCTTTCCCCACTACCTCGCATCTGATTATAATGATGTTGACATCATTATCATTAATGTACTCCATTTCACATTAACTTGGTGAACTGTGGATGCCGCGGCCCCCGCGACGGAGCCCTGCGCGACAAAAAGTAGTTCTCGCGCGATTCCATCTATAACGAGAAGATATGAAGAAGAAAAAAAAAATAATAACAAGTTTCTGAGTTTCAATTATATTTAAATAAAAAAAGTGACGTTAGATCCGTATCCGCTCGATTTGATTTTCGCCTTATCGCGCCGTGGCCGTTGGCGATCGCTGGCGATTGAAGCCGTGTAAAGGCTCTGTTATACTCCGACGTAACGCGCGCGCAAGCGAACGCTGGCCGAAGTCGGCTACGTCACGTCAGTCACGCCGCGTGCGTCAAAAATTCGGCCTCTTTATTAGCGCCGAGAT